TTGCCCACACACTCGAGCGTGTCCCTCGGCGCGTATAACGAGCGCTCGAACAATTAAGTATATTCGCTCGCGAGATCCGACGTCTAATTTTACCCCGCCCGCGTTTTGTTGTCAAAATATACGGGAAGAATATAACGAAAGGCCGCTATTTGCGACCAAACCATATACATGTTCATTTATCATTCCTGATTTAAAACTCCGCGTAACATCATTATAATAGCATATGAAAAAAAAAAAAAAAAAAAAAATCGACAGCCTTCAACCTTTGGAGTGCAAATTAATTCGAGCGAGCGAGAGTAGGTATATAGAGCGCGTGTAGGGTAATCGAGAACGAGTGTAAAGAAACCAGGCGCGATAAAAGCAGAGTCGTTTTCGCGCTTGTACGTACAGAGGGGCAGAGTAGAGTGGCCGTTAGTTATAATATCGCGTCGCTGGATGAGCTGGTGTCGGTCCAGTGGTCGGTCGTTCGTCATAGGCGCAAACTGTTTAAAAAGTAAGAGCACATTGGAGCCTGGCCAGCAGCGCGAAAATAGAAGCATATGCTCTCTCTCTCTCTATATATAAGAGCACGCATCGCAGACGGAGGAGGAGAGACGCGCGATCACTCCAAACTCCACTGGCCCCTATAATAAGCCGCGTACACGGCGATCCGAGAGCGTACGGACGCGAAACTATGCGACGCCCCTGTGCTCCCTTTCTCTCTACATCTTTTCGCACATGCACGCATATACGTCACGTTGTATATCCCACACGTGCACACAGCGACACGGTCCGTTTTCTTGGTCTATACTCCGTATATATGTGTATACACGTGTATTACATACATTATAAATATATGGCGCGGCGGGACACGGAAGAGGAGAAGCGCAGAAGTAGCAAGAGGAGAAGGCTCAAGGGGAAAACAAGTAAGAAGAGCTCTCTCTCTCTCTTGCAATTACAAGCTGGTCAACATATAATTATCCCGAATGACCATAAATTACCGGATTTTTTTTTTTTTTTTTCTTTTTTATGCCCGGGATATTCTTAATTACCCTTTGAATTAACATCAATCAAGCGGGTTAATTACACGCTGTTGCCGCTGCGGCTATCTATCTATACTTGCCCGTGCATTTCTCCAAGGAGCAGCGACTACACTTATACTGCATCCTATATATGCACAGCGAGCGATGTGATAATGCCCGAGAGAGAGAGAGAGAGAGGGATATAATATGCTCCTTGTTTTCATTATACTCCTCGCACTGGTAAGATATGGGTATGTACTGTATTCATACGAGTGCAGCCAATGTTGCTTGCCGTTCAAACCAAAACGACCATTTAGTTCGTACTTAATGCATATATATTTTATATCTCCGTGCGATAATTTCGTTGGAATTGCGTTTCATCGAACATATACACGCCGGGCTCGAGCTAGAAACTTGGATTTCTCTTTTTTCCGTTTTTTTCAGATAAAAATGCCCAGCTCTCGCATAAAAGCCTCGGATGCAATTTTATACCCGACGCGTGTATCGCAACGACGATGATTACAGGGTAATTTTCTGTGCGCGCCCTTTCTACGACTGCGATTCCTCATCCGTGTAGTCGATTGTGACAGGTGCATGGGGGGGAGGGGGGAGGGAGGCATCCGTCCGAAACGAGAGCACAGTCGGGGCGATAGGTGCTAATCTCCGGTTGTTGGCTAATTAAAACTCGGCCGTAATATTTTGGGCCGCAAGAATTTCACGGATCGTTTGTGCCATCGCATTTGCTGCACCTTTGTCTAGGAGGCCTCGGGGGAGAGACGCGGGCCCACACCCTCATTAAGTCTTCGAGCGGATCGGCAGAAAGCCGGCCATTAAGCGGGGACGAAAACCGGTGCAGATCGAGCGCTTTCGACAGCCGGTGGTTAAAGCCCTGGCCCTCCAATAATTTCTCTCTCTCTCTCTCTCTCTCTCTCTCTGGACTGATATGCACGCATTGCGATGCTCACGCACCTTGTGTTTTTCTTGCAACCGATGCGCGCCAATTAATCATCGCGCTGCGCTTTGCCCCCGAGCCCTATTTTTTTTTCTTTTCTTCCTCTCTTTTCTACGCCATCGCGTTGTTTGCGCTCGCGCGCGTACTTTTTTACGTCCGTACATGTATAGGATATGTGGTCCTATATAGATGCGCAAAGTCGGACTTTTATTTCGGATGGATTAATAATAGAGCGTTGCCACGGCCCGACGGTTATTATGTGGAAATAAGGCTCCCCGTGCCGGTCGGATTAAGCGCGCGCCCGCCCCCGCGTCGTCCGGCGAAAATTCGGGCTCGGAACATTTATCGCCCCGCGCGGCTCTTTGTGAAATTTAAGTGAGTGCGAAGGAGGTGACTTGCGCGTGATTTCGAGCGGCAGCTAATGTTTGTTGCCCGGCTCGTCGCTGCTGCTGCTGGTACGGCAGCGATAGAATTTCTGTGTTAACGACGCCGACTATTTATAGAAACGGCGAATCTATAAAACAGCCGCGCCAGATGCGAATAATGTATAGCGGCCAGCCCCTCATCTTTGCACTTTTTGTTTTTTTCGAAATATACATACAAGAGCTCGCGAAAATTATAAAATGAAAAGAAATTCCTACTCTTCGGCTCGAAATACAACCGATGAAAAATCGACTTCTCTCGGTAGCATTCATGTTACCCATACCGATTTTGCAATCGTGACACACTCTAGAACCGTCTCGCTTTTGCCGATCGGAAAACCCCGATTTTCGATCAACGAGCGCAAGATGACAAACAAATTCACCGCCCCAGCGAAGTTCGATGATTTAGATGGGCTTGAAAATAAAATCGGTAATTGAATCTCCGTGTTGGCGCGGGCCAATTTTGAACGCGTCGCCATGCTAATGGTTTGGAAGAATTAATTATTAAGTGGTAGCAGAGCGGACAAGAAAAAAAGGAGGCAACAACGAGCGCATACACACGTATACACTCGGGGAAGAGGAGAAAATCGGTAGCGCGAAAGAGAGAGAGCAGTGGCGTGGATATACGGTATAGCGACAGTACAGCGACGGCAGATGCGCGAGACGCATGGAAGGCGGGCGTCTGTACCACCGGAGGATGGAAAGTCGAGCACATATTATATACACGAGTCGCAAATCGCAAGGGTACGTGTATATTAAAACGTCTGCCGTTGGCGGACAAAAATACACTCAAGCGCCCGTCCATATACTTGTGTGCGAGTGTATACAGACACACACACAGGAGCCGGGTGGAGGCATCGAAATGAGGGGAAAATACCGGCCAGGCCGGAATGTTAATTTCGTCGTGGTGTAAATCATCTTCTCTCTCCCGTCCTTTCTTTCTTTCTCTCCCTGCTCTCGCGAAATCATTGGCGGTAGCAGCCGCAGGCACCGCCACCGCAGCAGGAGCGCGTACATGGAGGCGCGAAACTCGGCTACGAACTTTACCCGCCGTGACTCACCTTCGACCCCCACCCACCCCCCGTCATCTTCTTCTTCGTTTACTCGTACACTTCTTCGGTCCTGCAGGTACACATAAGCGTCTTTTGTTTGGCCCCCGCGCGCCCGAGCTCTAGATTATTAAATTTCAGTTTTGCGGATTTCTAAATCATGATACGCCAGCCGACACGTACACGCTCAATTAATTTTCGGTGGCACTGTGTATACGTATAATGTACACACGCGCACAAAGTGTCCCCCTCCAACCGGCGCAACACTGTTGACGATGCTCCATTACGGCATATGTTGCCCACACACTCGAGCGTGTCCCTCGGCGCGTATAACGAGCGCTCGAACAATTAAGTATATTCGCTCGCGAGATCCGACGTCTAATTTTACCCCGCCCGCGTTTTGTTGTCAAAATATACGGGAAGAATATAACGAAAGGCCGCTATTTGCGACCAAACCATATACATGTTCATTTATCATTCCTGATTTAAAACTCCGCGTAACATCATTATAATAGCATATGAAAAAAAAAAAAAAAAAAAAAATCGACAGCCTTCAACCTTTGGAGTGCAAATTAATTCGAGCGAGCGAGAGTAGGTATATAGAGCGCGTGTAGGGTAATCGAGAACGAGTGTAAAGAAACCAGGCGCGATAAAAGCAGAGTCGTTTTCGCGCTTGTACGTACAGAGGGGCAGAGTAGAGTGGCCGTTAGTTATAATATCGCGTCGCTGGATGAGCTGGTGTCGGTCCAGTGGTCGGTCGTTCGTCATAGGCGCAAACTGTTTAAAAAGTAAGAGCACATTGGAGCCTGGCCAGCAGCGCGAAAATAGAAGCATATGCTCTCTCTCTCTCTCTCTCTCTCTCCTCCTGTGTTGTCTGTGTGTACGCGTCTTGTACGCGCTAATGCGCTCACGAGGCCTTTCCCCTTTTTTGATCCCGTGGGGGGGAGAAGGGGGGAGTATTAGTCGGGCGAGACACGGAGGATGGGGGAGAAAGGAAAGAAAGGCCGGAGACAGCCAGACGCGGGGCGGAGGCGCGATTCCGTTGCCCTTGAATTCGAAGCTACTCCAGCCGAGCGCTTAGATAAAAATGTAATTACCCGGATAAACGCTGCCTCTCTCCCCCCCCCCTACTCTTTCTCTCTCTCGCTCGTTCTCTTGGAGGGATCGTTAGCGTCGATCCAACGGGAAGTCTGTGTATTTGGTACGGACTGTACTATAACTTACCGATCGTCCAGTTTCGAGAGTCTTATTTGCAGAGTCGGGCTCCTGAAACCATGCAGTACCTGCTACACTGCGGCATGTGGAGTAAAAAAAAAAAAAAAAGTTTGGCAATTAATCAATCAGTGAATGTGCTTCGTTCAACTCGATGATGATGAGTTGTAAGCGTTCAACACACGCTTACAACCTCATCATGGTAATTTATACACATTTGTTTTTCGCGTACTGTTAAAAATTTTATTAATATTTCACAATTGCTGTTGGATACGAAATGGTTTAATTGGTAAAAAATATCGAAACGACGCAATAAAGTATGTATCAAATGATTAAAATGTACGTGGCGTGTCTTTTGGTTGCAGACTGCGACTCCTCGGGATGCGAGGCTGACATGGCGGAGGGCTCGGCCGAGGAGGAACAGAGCAGTACAGCTGCGCCAGCTTCGCCCCCAGCGGACCTTCGCATCCTGAACACCCAGTTGTCGACGAGCTACCACCAACAGCAGTACCAATCGCAGCAGGAGCAACAACAACACTTGCATCAACAGCAGTTGAGGCCGACGCCAGTGGCTCTGCTCCAGCAGCAGCCCCAGCACCCGAGCATGCTGGCCACGGCGATACCGCACAGGCACAGTCTACTGCCCCTCTCGATGAGGATGGACATCAAGTCGGAGGCCGACATGGACAACTCCTGCGACGTGCCCCTCAACCTAAAGAGCGAGGTTACATCCCCTATTTCGATAATATATTATGCCATTTACATCTTTGTGTGTGTATATATATATATATACGTCTACGTCCACCACCGCTGTATACACACACCCTGGGCAATTATATATTGTCCGTGGACTTAAGAGCTAATATGGCCCCGACTTATTTAGGCCGATTTCAACACCTGCTGTATACTCGATCTCTCCGCGTCGCTCATCTTTTGTGACTTAACCCCGATCCCGTTGGCGCGGCCGGCGCTATTTATATACGCGTGCGAACCTCCCGCCTCGTGTCTTATGCACACCATACCGATCGAACGGCACTAATGACCTGCCATTGAAGAGTGTAAAAAAAAAAAAAAAAAAAAAAAAAAAAAACCGGCTTATCGCTGATCGAGAGCAAAACTAGTTTCGTTTTATCACCTGTAGTACTCGGGCGTCGAGTGCACGCATTTGTTTCGAGTCGAAGATTATTATTTGGCAGCGCGAAAGACTTTTAGCGAGTTTTTGTTTTATTTTCCGAAAACTCGCTGGGGACAAAGCACCTGAATTTTTCATAAGACTTTCCACGGGCACCGCCATTGTTCGGCGTGCAGTGTGTCGAAGAGTGGCTCTCTCGAAGCTCAACGAAAAAAAAAAAAAAAAAAAAAAAAAAAAAAAAAAAAAAAAAAAAAAAAAAAAAA